CCATAGCAACACACTTTCTAGCTCTCCCACAATCATTTCGCTTAGGAAAGATTTCTCAGAGATTTCTCTTCACGTTATAAATAACCAAGAAAGGAAAGGGCTTGACGACTGCTGAATAAAAGGCACTGAGAACTTTCTGGCACAACAGTCACTTATTGTATACCCAATAATTAGTTTTCAAGAGCCTCCAGAGGCTAGGTAAGAATCTAGGCACCAGGCACACAATGGAATGATGTCAAGCATGTAGTCTGGGTTCAAATCCTAGTTATATAATTTTATAGCTTTGTAAACATGAGCAATTTACCACACTATAACTCCATTTACTCACTTATGAAATACAGAGAATACCTTTCTCCTACTCTTGTTAAGGTAGGCACATGGTAAGGACATGCCAGCTGTTACAAAAAGAAACAATGTCTAATGATTTTTACCAAATGGCTTGTTAACACCCTGCTCCATCACCAACATGACTGCCTGCTATTCTCTGCCCTAGTCAATCCATCCATGCTCTCAAAGAAATAACAAATGCTTTTTCTGAGTTAGCAACTAGGATTGTGGCACAGTAAAGTCCACTGTAGTCCATTTTTAAACTCTTTTCTTGTACAATGAGGACATCTAAGTCCAAAGATCTACCCAGTTTAAATTGAAGCTCATATAGCTAATTAAGTGTGAAACCATTATTAGACCTTGGGTCTTTGCCTTCTTAGTCCAAGCACTAGGTTGAAGAAGCCTACAAAGTGGAAAATCAGCCCATCCTCTCATCTGGCTCATGGCTCATCCCACCGGGAGCAGTAAGTAATACTGCTCTTCCTAGGTAGGGTTCTCACCTTGCTGTAAGTTGTCTATTTTTAGCCTTTATAGATGGCCTGCTCCCTGCAGATTCACTTGGGCTAATAGACTGCTGTTGGGTTTAAGGCACTTTCCATGGTGTTGCTTGGTGGTTGCCATGCCAACAAAATTGGATGGATAAAGTTTTCTAGTACACTATTTTGAGGGAAGCCTTAAAGGCAGATTAGAACTACATGTCTGATTCTGAAGCTAAATGATGCAAGTAATTTATAATGCACATAGTAGACAGACCATGATAGTTTCTGAAAGACAGAATGAATACCTGTATGCTGTTAGTTGCATTTGGCAGTTGGAAAGTGGCAGCAGCAGAGAACTCATCTGGTACTTAGTCAATACTTTAGTTAGTGTGGAGCAAGTTCACTCACAACCTCCTTGGGAAATGGTGGTTATCTCTGGATTTTCATAATTACCTGGCATCCTGCGTGTGAAATGATTTGTCTGAGTCCAGCAGACTGTTTCTGACCTTTCAGCTGCTTGTTAGTCCTGGAACCCAGGGGATTCTGACTGTGCACCGATGGTAGCTATAGACATGGCTAAAGTGGCAGGAATCTGACCCTCACTTTCCTTGTAGGCCCTTTATCTGGGGTAGTAACTCACATCTTAGAGGGGCCACATTCCATCCCTGTAAAGATGCTCTTTTTTTGGCAAACATAATCAACATGCTTAATAAATGGATTTGTTAAAAAAAAAATGCAGACAGCCTTGCTGATTCACAAATGGCTACAATGAGTGAACAATGAACTGCATTCAAGGTATTCAATCAGCGGAGGAAAGCAAGCCCCTAAATTTCCATTCAATTCCTAGATCTTCCAGCAGGGACCTGACAATCCCAGTCTGCAGGGATCTTGCTCTTCTCAGTGAAATCTATCTTCATAACAAGCATCTGCTCTTCTTTCCCTCCTCTATCCCTTCACTCTTTCCTCCTTCTCTTCTTTCCTCCCCGCCTGCTTTCCATTCTACCCTTTCTCATTTCTTCTTTCCTGCCCTTTCTTCCACAGTGGCAAAGAACACAGGCTTTGGAATCAGAATTAGTTTCAGCTCCTTCCTGTCTGTGTTGCTTACGGTGCTCATTACATCTTGAGCGGCGCTTTTTCTTGTATATAATGGGCAGCCAATGTGTGTTGTTGATAGTTTTTGAAGCAATGAAGTATTTCTCAAACTTTAGTGGTCGTGAGGGTCACTTGGAGAGATAGGTACTCAGAAAATGCAGATTTTCAAGGTGCATATTCACAGATTTCAATCTATCAGATTAAAGCCAGGCATCTGACTTTGACAGGCTCCTTAGGCTTCACAGGTACCATGGTGAGAAACACTGGATATGTGTGCAAATGCTTAGTAGAATAAGACACATTGTAAAGATTTTACAGGTAGGGAGCTATGATCATTATTCACTCAGCAAACATTTATTGAACATCTACTGTGTAGTATGCATAACGCCATACCCTATACATGCTCCCCACTTAATTTATTTTTATTACTAACTTAATTTATCCTATATATGTCTTATTCCTATCCCAATAGTATAAACTCCTGGATAAAACTGTAAAATGTGGCATAGAAGAACAGAAATGTTAGAAGAAATGAATTCTAATTCCATTTCTATTGTTTATTACCTGTATCACTTGAGGCAAGTCACTTTATCTCTTGGCTATTTTCTTTGTCAAAGGAAAGGCAATGAGTATAATGGTGAAGTGCTTAGTTTGGAGTCCTGGCTTTAATGCTTTCTAGGTGTGATCTTGGGGAAATAACTTCTTTGAGCCTCAGTTTCCTCCTATGCATTTCTTTGACAAATATTTTTGAGCACTATCTATGTAACTATCACTGTGTAAGGTATTGGGAATACCTTACATGTATCTTAGAACTTAATAATGGACACAAATAGTAAACAGACAACTAATTATATTGTGATAAATTCTGTTGTAAGTGGGCACTAACTTCTCAGGAGGATGCTTACACCGAACCCTGAAGGATGGGAAGGTACCGGTAGGTACGGAAGCCTCAGAGTTGGAAAGAAACTAGGATGCCTGTGTGGCTGAAGCAGAGAACAGAAGGTCCCCTCTCTACCTCACAGGTGTTGAAAGACTTAATGAGATAGTAAAATACTTAGCATAGTGCCCGACAAGGAGAAATGTAACGATCATGGCACCACACCTGACAAATCTATGTGAAGCAATGTATGAAAAAGCGCTGTGCAAACCATCCATCAGAATCACCCTGAGGTTGTGTTAAGATCACTGGGGACACTCCTCCAGAGTTTCTGAGTCAATGGGCCTGGCATGAGGCTAATATTTCAAACAAGTTGCCAAGGGATGCTCTTACTGCTGGGGACAGGGAGAAGAGGAACTGTGTGCTAGCGATGCTATGGGAACGATTGGCATAAACTCTAAGACCCTAAGTGTATGTGGTTCAAAGCTGAATCTCCCACAATGCTTAGGTTCTGCTGTGCACAGACTCTCTCTATAATTATTTGATAATATTATGTCATTTTATGGGAGAAAAGACCCTAGAAAATCTCCATCATTTCATTTAATGGGGAGAGAAATTCAGAACCAAAAAAGTGAAGAAGCTGCCTAAGAATTGGGAGGTGTTTGAACTCAAGAGCTTTTCCTCTCTAGAATATGTTTTTGCTTCATTCTGCCATAAAAGCAGCCACTGTGATCTTGTATGCTACCCCCAAGATGACCAAGATAATCTGGCTCACCTTATGGTACACCTTTCAAACTTTAAATTGTTTTACTAAATGGGTTGTTGGAATGAATAGATTTTTGAAAGAGTTAAAGTGGTAATTTTAAACTTGCTAGGCAGCCACTCCACTACTTGAGCCATGCCTCCAGCCCTTTTGCTCTGGTTATTTTTGAGATAGGATCTTGCTTTTCTCCCTGACCATCCTGATCTGTGATCCTCCTATTTATGCTTCTTGCAGTAGCCAGATGACAGGTGTGCAACGTCTCTGCTGTTGAGATAGGGTCAGGCTTGCTTTGAACTGCAATCCTCCTGATCTCTGACTCCCAAATAGCTAGGATTATAGGATGAGTCATCAGTGCCTGTCCTGAAATAAAATATTTTTAAGAGAATATACCACACCACAATTCCTTATATCCATTTTGGGGGAACTTACTATATATTAGTTCACGTTTTCTTTTCTGATTTTTACAGGTATGCAGGTTCCTCTCTTATTTAATTAACAATAATAATAAATGAAATAGCACAAAAGCTGATTTCATCAGTACAGATCTGGTCAGGGTGTCTGTCACCTCATTTGATCCTCACCACCATGTTAACAGGTATGTCCTGACTGTCTCAATCTATTGATAAGGAATTCAAGACACAAAATTCCTAGAAGCAGGATTTGAATCAAGACTGATTCCTGAGCGTAAGCTCTTAATTACAGTGATGTGAAGGCTCATTTGTCAACAAACAAATCCCCCAAACAACTAAGATAATCACCCAGCTATGTGCAGTCAAAATCAGTTTCAATGAGTACTGGCCTCTGAGAACAGACTCCTTGGCGGTCAAGATGACAAGAAAACCCAACAGTAAATGATTCGCTGGTTTCATATGTCAGGAGTTGGAGTAAGGAGTATCCCAAAGCAGGTTTAAAAAAATAATAAAACCCAGCAAGCTGAGACATCGGAGTCCTTCCGAAGGGAAGAAACCTCTCTTGGGGATGATAAACCTCTTCTCCAAGGAGAGGGGGCGCCCCTCTGAGATGCAGTGCGGGTGGTACTTCTTGTTGCTTTAACTGCTTGTGAGCTATACTTCACTAGCTGTAGTTCTGCGGGTTCACTTAGCTCCAGGACACACTGCTAGAGCAGGCTCCGTTAGTTACCTTTCCGTGTCCGCATAACTGTGAAGTACAGAGAAGCTCGCCAGGGCCTGGCAGAAGACGCCGCGCGGGCTAGGCTGGGGCGCGGCACCTCTCCTCTTGGTGTCAGAGGAATCCTGAGCCGGATCGCGTCACCCGGCTGCGGGAGGGCTGAGCGCGGGTGGCACCCGGGGACAGGGTGGCAGCCCGGAGCCGCTGCGCCCCCGAGCCCCCGCCTCCCGTCCCAGGGCGCCGCCCCACCGGCCCGCGCGCGCCACGCTCCGCCCTGGACGCCGTTCGTCCCGGCGCGGGGTGCGGCGTGGGGTGGGGGGGGAATGCTGGGGGTGGGGGTGGGAGCGGCCCGGTTCTGCCTGATTTACGGCTCTGCTGAAAACCGCTCGGCTCCCGCAGCATCAGCACCGGCGGCGGCGGCTGCAGCAGCAGCAACAAGTCAGGTAAGTGGCAGCCGCTGGGTGTGGGCGCCCGCGGCCCGGCCCGAGGGGGCGCGGCGGAGGGGGCCGGCGGGGCTGGGGACGGGGTCCCTGTCCCCGTGGAGAGTTGGGAGCGCCGGCTTTCTCCGCCCCACCTGCAGAAACTCGGGTGCGCCCGAGTCCACTCCGGCTCTCCGGGGCTGGCAAGCAGCGGAGGGGGACAAGGCGGGGCGGGGAGAGCGAGGAACCCTGACGCAGGGTCATTGCCAGCCTGCCCTGCTCTGGCAGATGAACCTGGAGCTTCTCTGTCAACCCGGTGCTCTGGGGTTTCCGCTGGGCCCATAAAAGCCTGCGTGCTTGGGATTGTGTGATTCCTAATTCCCCATCCGCAGATGCCACCTGGTTCCCATTGCCCCTGTACTATCCTGGCTTCCCTTTCTTCACCTCTTTTCCGGAGTCTGTGGGCCTGCCCTGGGCCAGGGTTTGCACCCCAACCCCAGAAAACCAGCGGTTAAACATCCTGGTGCAGCACAGGAAGAGATTCCCTTCTGTGGCGGCCAGAGGCTTAGTAACCTGGAAGCTTTGCCTAACTGGGAGATTGAAAACCCAATAGACACTAAGACCCCAACTGGACTCCCTCACTGTGAACCCAGTGCTTGTTACACTTGAGTAGAAACCATTTCTAGAGGGAATAGATATGCAGTGTTTGCAGAATTGGGTTGTAACAGTCATGTGTTGCTAGGGCAAAGGTAATAAATTCCTACAAGGAAACAAGAACTTCCTGTTATTAAAAGTTAGAAGGATGCCTACCTGGCTCAAACATTAGCCATCTTTAGAGGCTGTCATTTAAAAACATGATCAAAGACAAGACAGATTCATCCAGATCATTCTATTATAATACAGTCTTGACCTTAGCCCTGCTTACATCAAATGATATTTGACACTTTTGGGTGTCCAAATTTCAGTAAAGCTCAACTATGAGACCATTATGGTTATGATAACACTATGATTTATGTCATCACACCAGTAATTAAAGAAAAAGTTAAAGGCAAAAATCTCAGGTTGAAAAATTTTCAGCTAATGGTGTTCTTAGGTAACCTTCTCCTTACTTGAGAAAAGATTGCTGAACTTGTTCTCTTAGGATCTATTTGATAATTCTTGTGAGTTTTCTTCATTTTTATATTCAAGAAGGGCACAGTTTTGCATGCAGTACACTAAATTCAAGAGGGCAAGAAACTTGACTTCTACTTCTGGATCTTTCCTACTGACCTTGGATTCATTACCCACCTTTTTTTTTTTTTTTAATCCTGGGCAGGGGTTGGCAGAGGTTATCTGTAAAGACCAAGTAATAAATCTTTTTGACTTTGCAAGCCATAGTGTATCTGTTTCGACTACCATACTAACCTCTGACATTGTCGTGTAAAAGCAGCTGTCATATAGAAATGAAAGGATGTGGCTGGATTTGGCCTATGGGCTATATAGGTTTTGATTTCAACATAAAACCCAGTGTATAACAATTTATGCAAAAATAACTTAAAACCAAAAAGGCCCTGCCCTTGTGGAGATGAGCAGCAATTGTTTCAGTAACATTTTTTTAAACAGACATATATGTTACCATTTTTCCCTATTCCAGGACTTTTAGAGTAATGCAACAGAAGGCTTTTGAGGAAAACAGATATCCCTGGCAGGAGTCCTTTGAGAATGTTGCTGTGTGCCTGCCATTCCGCTGCCCGAGGTGTGGAGACCATACCAGATTTAGAAGCTTGTCGTCCTTGAGGGCCCATCTGGAATTCAGTCACAGCTATGAAGAAAGAACCCTCTTGACAAAATGCAGCCTCTTTCCATCTCTCAAAGATGCAGACCTTGTCACTTCCTCAGAACTCCTGAGACAGGGAAAATTGCAGGGCCATGGCAAAGTGGCAAGGCAGAAGCCGAGTTATGTTAACTTGTATAGCATTTCGCATGAACACTCCAAGGACTGGAAGCCATTTGAGATGGTGGCAGAGAGGCCCGTGTCCTATGTGCAGACCTACACTGCCACGGACATACGGGCAGACTCGCTGGATGGGCCCCGGTCGAGTCCTGGACTTTCCACCTCAGATACCAAAGCTGCTTTTGAGGCACATGTCAGAGAAAAATTCAACCGGATGGTTGAGGCTGTGGATAGGACCATTGAGAAAAGAATCGATAAACTCACCAAAGAATTGGCCCAGAAAACTGCTGAACTGTTGGAAGTTCGGGCAGCTTTTGTACAGCTGACTCAGAAAAAGCAGGCAGTTCAGAGACGAGAGCGGGCCCTGAACAGACAGGTGGACGTGGCTGTGGAAATGATTGCTGCACTGAGGCAGCGCCTGACAGAATCCGAGGAAGAGCTTCTTAGGAAAGAGGAGTAAGTGGTGCTGAAACTGGATGCTGACCCCATTGCTATAGGGACCCCCTTCCCAAGTTGCAAGAGATGTTAAGCAAAATTTGGTTGGTATTATTTGCAAGTGTCTTGCCTGCATTTCTTTGACATGTTTGAACCAGGAGACATGAGACATTGGTATTATTTACACTTTGTGTATAGGGTGCAGTTCATCAGCATTGAAGTCAAAATATATAACTCCTTGTCACTTTGGAAGCTATAAATCACAGATATATTTTTAGAGAGAGAAATAACACAACCTTTCCATGGAGGATCCATTCCCAGCACCAAATGGTGTGCAAGTGTGAGTTGAAGGGGGAGGTAGAAGGGATGCTGTGAGAACCATTCTTCCTGACAGTCTCTGTGTTATATAGCAGTCAGGAACATGAGATGCTATCTTACTCAAGTATAAAAATATGTTCCAAATACAAATAATTTTGGTGCCATTTTGGGATATCTCCAAGTTAATGAAATGTCAATAGTTGAGAATCCATTATAATTTATACTGGGAGAAAGAAATACTAGGAAACCCAAAGGAAAGATTTTCTGATACAGCTATATTTCTGTGATTTAAGTTTGAGAATTATCCTTTTGTAAAGTGAATGCATAAGACTAGGATAAGTCTTAACTGCTTATAAAGAGTTGACACTGGTTTCACAAGGTGATCATAGAAGCTATTACTTGAAAAATCATAGTAATTGGAGAAGCATTTCCTTATGAACAAGCTTGAATTTAACCCAAGTTAGCAAAAGCATACATACCAATTCATATTTCCCATTTTAAATGGAGGCTCACTATTCATAGAATAAAGGATTTAAGAATTGACAGACTAAAACATCCTGAATGGTAGGTTTTCAAATAATTTGAGTGCTATTAGAGAGATTGATTAATTTCATCATTTCTTTGCCTTCTGACACTTTTCTATCTTGTGTTGTCTCTTAAAATGAAGAAATTAAAACTTCCTGAGAAGTTAAGGAGATCTTTACTTACTATCATTAAATGTTTATATTCTACCTCAAAGGGAATCCTAGATGCTTTTTGTTCATACCAGGCATTTTTTAAATTGATGTAGTTTGGATGAATTTGAATCTGCTACCAGTTTTCTTTGCTCCTAGGGAAATGATCTATAGTGAAAAAATGTTATCTTGTTGTTTTGTTTTTATCCTCTGGTGTTTCCTAGTAGGAAGTTAGTGTTTTGACCCATCATGGCCACCAAGGTAACATACACAGACAGCAGTTCTGGGAAAATGGTGGATGGGTTTGCTCTATGTATAGAGAAAAGCCTGGAGTTTAAAAAACCATCAAATTAGTTTTCCAATTTCTTTTTTAATATATTTTATTTATCACACAAGTAATAGTGACTGTGGGATTTAAGGTGGTGGCTGCCTGGAATGTGGGAAGTCAAGATGATGGAGGGGACAGTCATATTACTAGAAGTAGTTTATAGTCAAGGATCTAACTTTTGTTTGGTGTGGTGTGTTTAAGAGTGCTTCTTTTGGAAAAATAACTAGTTATTTTATTTGATTATGGAATTATTATTTAATGTTACTTAATTATGAGAGTGGACTATTCATGGATCAATAATGATATTTTTTATGATTAATCCAAGGCCAAGAGAAAGCATAGTCTTTCAACACAGTAGGTTTAGCAAGAGAGAATTACGTTGTTAAAAATACCTTTCCTCTCCAAGCATACTCTACCCAACATTGGGAGGCAGCACTATGTTCTATAGCCCTATGTAATTCACACACATAGAGTTACTTTGTTTCTCCACATGGAACCATACATACATTATTTCACAGCTTGTACTTGGAGCTGTTTTGTTTTAACATAATATGTATCAGGCATCTTTTGTGTACTAGACACAGAATTAGGCCATTCTGTTTGACTGTTGGCATGGTGTTCCATGGTATAGATCCATCATGATTGATTTGACTAGTTTGCTGTTAATGAATACATACTTTTGTTCTATTTTTCCAGTATCAAACATAATGCCTAAGTTAAATGTGTACATATTTGTTTGCCATTTTGTGAGTATGCCTAATGGTAAGTTACAAGTTGATTTTTATTTATTTATTTATTTACTCATTTTTGGTGCTGGGAATTAAACCCAGGGCTTCACACGTACTGAGTACACACACAACTACTGAGCTACACCCCCAGCTAGAATTGATGGTGAATGTGTTATTTTTGGGCTAACAAAAAAAAAGTGATATTGATTAAAAGAAAAAATAATTTTAAATAAAAATGCAGTAAAATTGCCTTAAATTTCTAAACATAAAATAAACAAAGTCTTCATGTTTTAAAAGCTTTCATTTGAATCCATCCTGTCAATTTCTGTATTCAAGCCTCAAATAATTACTCTTTCTATGCATGAAATTGAACTGAAAGAGTCTTGTTTCCAGAAAGGACACTGAGGCTCTTGATCTGAGAGTGACGATGGACAATACCCTCAGTGCCTGCAGAGTCTGGCCTTGCCTTTCCCCACCCCCCACATCTGAACAGTGGTACAAAGTGAGCTGTCTATTTGCCAAAGTATTGAGACCAGATTAACTTGACTGGGTCTGCTTGGCTGGGCTCCATCCAAGTTCACCATTCCCTCAGAGGGTGGTGCCTTCCACAGAGAGGTGGTCTTTCAGGTAGGGAAGGCCCCATTTGGCTAAGGAACATTCCAGAAGCTGTGCTCCCTTACCAAATGGGCTCTTGAGGCCCATTTGTAAGAGCAAAAAAATTACTGTCCTGTTCAAAATTGACTTAAACTTAGGAACTCTTTGAAACACAGAGGGCAGATTTGGTTTAAAAATATGCAAACAGCTAGTATTAAACATTCACATCAGTCTCTCTTGCCTAAAGATTTTTCCCTAAACTTTAAAAATCCATTCTTTCTAACTGAAAAAACACTCTAGGACTGTCTGCCCTAAGGCCATCTATAGGTTGAATCAACTCATTTTATGAAAAATGTACACACACAGACACACACACACACTCCATAATAGAGGAGGTTGTTTGAATTGGCAGTATTTTGCACTTACGTATTAGTGAGTCTCCTTGCACCCCCCCCCCATTGAGAGGTCTCTAGGTTTCTGGAATGCAAGTGCAAGAAAAAGTTGCTCGTTGTCTTCACGAAGTCAATGTAACTTTAAAAGTCCTGTTGAAACAGGTTATTTACTCATTGATGAGGAGTCAGAGCTATTGGGTAGCATTGCCCGGTAATCAAGTAAATCAATCCTGGCTCTATGCAGGAAGGTATCCCTTAACAAGAATGGACTTAGATAGTAGCTGAGTTGTTCTGTTGGGGTTTGGAGAAACTGAGTATAATAAAAGTAATTCCAAATTTATTGACACACAGTTCTGCCAGTAAGGTTGGACAGTGCTGATGAAACACCTCTGATGTGCTAGGTGTGCCTGGGTAACATGAAATCTTTGGCATTTTTCCTTCAGATGCTTATGTTCTATATAGAAAGAATAAGGCATATTTATGAGTATGCCCATGTTCAAACACAGACTAAGTTTTTGTTTGTTTCTTCCTTTCTTCTTGAAACGGTCTTACTCTTAAGTCCAGGCTGGCTTCCACCTCACTACATAACCTAGGCTGGCTGTAAACTCAAGATCCTCCCATCTCAGCCTCCCTAGTGCTGGAATTACAGGCATGTACCACCAACTCAGCTGCAGGGTAGCTTTAACAAGTGCTGAAATGCAAGCCACAGTTTCAAGTTAATAAAACAATGGAGAACAGATATTCCTACCTAGAGAGGCCACACTGAAGGAATGAGGGGGAAGGGTAGAAATTGCAATGGCAGGTGGAAGACTGATGTTGAAAGAGCAACTGGGTAGGCTATCAGAGATGGCTTCTGAGTGGGATTTAGATTTAGATTTTAGAATTGCATGGTACCATCTGTCTCCTTCAGGGTGGTACACTCATTTAATAGAGGCGGAAAATAAGGCCCAGAGTTATGGAATGACTTGCCTAAGGATAAAGAGTTAGTAGCAGTGCTGAAACTGAAGCCCAGTTTCCCTGTCTCCTTGCTGAGTGCTTTTTCCCCTAGCTCCCCATGCCCTCACCAGACTTCTGAAAGTGTGATATTTGCCCAAAGCATCAAGGCTTATGTAATACCGAACATGGCCCATTTTAGAATCCGCTTCCTTCTTTGCTATTTTGAGAGGGCTGCCACAATGACATCATTTATTTTTCTGATATGATTAAAGAAAATGTCAGCTGACATCAGAGGTGTTGGAAGCAGGGAATTGGTGGCCTCACAAGCATAGTCATGATATTAAGCTTCCGGAACACCCAGTCCAGGGCTTTTAACTTCCAACAAGGACTTTTAACTTGACTCTCCAGATGTCCTTGCCCAGTCAGTATGGGGTATATGCCACTGCCAAGCTTTGATTGCAGTGAAAGGTGTCTTTGTGATTCCATCTCTAATTTCTAATCGACTGCTCGGTGAGCTACACTAGATAGAATCTGTTTCCCTTTTCCCTTCATCATCTCCTTTGTTCCCAGCCTGGAGCCCTGCAGGAGACAAATATTTACTGAGAACTTGCTGAGTGCCAAGTTCTGCTCTAGGTTCTGGTCAGACAATGGTAAACCAAATGAAGTTTCTGCCTTCATGGAGCTTATAGCCCAGAAAGGAAATGACATCAGATCAGCAAGTGTGGTAAAAGACATGGAGGGTCAGCCTGAACTGGCATTGTCCATTTACGTTTCTCTCCAGAGCTGGCTATGGAATGTTGGCCTTTAAAGGCAAGACTGACTTGGTAAGTTGCATTGCACAACTAAACTCTCTTCCCATTTACTTAGGTTATTCTACTTTTTTGATCAACTAAAGCAGTGAGTAGACAACCTGTCCATACTAATCTGTGGCTAGGAAGCAGGCCAAAAAACATTGTGTTACATGCAGAGTTCAGTGGGACAGAGAGGATCTATTGGCTCCACAGTGTTGGCTCATCTTTATAAATGAGATCCTCTTGTTCCAGGCTGTGTT